ATATTAGTCTTTAAAAACACCAGAATTTGCACATAACTTTTTATTATTATTCGGTCTGGCTTATTTTAAAATACTAAATCAGATGTTGTAATCATTTACTCAGTAGTAGCCGTTTTACAAAATACTTTTTTTACCCTAACTTGAGTAATTTCTTGAATAGCTTATTTTTACTTTTACTTGAGTAAAAACATGTTGAAGTAGTGCTACTCTTACTTGAGTCCAACCTTTAGGTTCTCCACCCACCGTTTTAAATATAAAAGTTAGAAATTTGTCCAACTTGTCGGCAATATGGTGTACGTCCCAAAGAGGCTTCCAGTTTTTATTTTTATTTTTATTTTTTTGGTTTTTTATTATTTTATCGTCAGTGTACAGTATATCAGGGTGTTGGACAAAATTTCCATACATTATAATGTGACAGTACCTTAGAAGTACACAGCTGAAATTCAGATGAGGAAAAGTCATGATGTTTGAGCATTAATCTAATAAAAAAGTTTAATGAGTGCAGATCTGCATTCAAGTGTGCAAACAGTTTCCTGTGCTTCTGCAACACTGTCAGGCAACTCCACAGGCTTTCCTCCAGGCTTACTGAGCATAATTTATTAGTATGCAGCCACCATCAAAACACAGCATCTCAATATGCACCATAAAATCAGCTACAATAWAATGTAGCTGAAGAGGAATATTGCAAAAGTATATTTTGTTGAAGTCATGTTGTGTGTGTTTTTAAATAAAAGCATATCAGAGACATTTTGTTAAAGCCTGTAAAAGTTGTGTCGCCCTTAGGAAAATTAAAAAACAATTTGTTTTAAATAAATGTTCTGTTTTTGCTTCTGAGTAGTTGCAGAAAGTCTTTATTCCCAAAGAAAGGTGGATTATCTGAAAGGGTTTTTATTCTGTGGAAGTCTGAATAGAAACTATAGGAAACCAGTTTCATGTGTTTATTTTCAAAACTGAATCCACATCTTTGAAGTAATAATGCTAACAGGCACATCAAATACCTTTTTTTACCTGTGCAGGTTAACACAAAATAAAAAAAATGTCATTTGGCAGTACTTCTTCCAGGAAATACAAGTTTCTGTCTAGTCAAACAAGCTTTTAAACTGACATTTGAATTAGGTGTTATTAGGCGGCACGGCGGCTCAGTTGGTAGAGCTGATGCCTGTCAACAAAAAGGTTGCTGGATCAAATCCTGGTCCGGGGACCTTTCTGGGTTGAGTTTGCATGTTCTCTTTGTGCACTCCATCTTCCTCCCACAGACCAAAAACATGACTGTTAGGTTAAGTGATAACTCTAACTGTCCCCAGGTGTGAGTGAGAGAGTGAATGGTTGTTTGTCTCGTTTGTCTCGATGTGTGGCCCTTTGATGGACTTGCAACCTGTTCAGGGTGTAACCCCGCCCCTCGCACTGTGACTGCTGGATATGGGCACCAGTGACCCACGCGACCCTAGATAACAGGAATAAACAGGTGTAGATAATGGCTGGGTGGATTATTTAAATATATGATGTGAATAGTTATTTTTATAGTAACCTGATTTGCCAACAAAGAAATGCTAGTTTACAATCATCCTAGTAATTTTGTACTCAATCTGCAAACAACACAAAATGTGATACTGAATGAAAAACAACTGTTGCTTTTAAAGTCATGTCTTGGAAGAAGAGATAGATGTATGATTGGTTTTTATCTGCTTAAATGAAAAACAGATTTATTTCAGTCCTTATCAAGATATTGAGCTGCAAAATGATGAAAAAGAGGGAATTATTATCCTTTAAGACTGCTTTCTCATTTTTTTTAAACCTTGCCCTGGATTATTTATTTATTTATTTATTTATTTATTTATTTATTTATTTATTTATGTCGCCCAGGTGCATACTTTTTTATTCCCACAGCAAGCTGACGCCACATCCCACCAACATCCACAGTCTGATGATTAAATCTGCAGCAGTGAAGCGCCGGGCTGGCCACCTGCTTTACTACTCGTTTCTTGCTTAATAATGAGCACAAACACAGGAAACATCCCATCACCGAGCGCCTAAAAGCCCCATGGGTGCTGGGCTTATCGTACATTTCTGTGCTGATTTATTTTTTTGTTGCCTCTGAAAGCAGCTCGTGTTTGTGGCAGAGTCTGCTGCAGACGGAGAACAGYTGTAAAGTGTATCGACGAGGAGCCGAGGGCGAGCATCTGGGCCGCTGGTGCTCAGTACGAGGGTTGATTGATTGACTGAGAGACCCTGGAGTCATGCAGGCAGAGCGGCCATAAACACACAAACACACACTGATATCTTTGCTTCACAAACAGCAGAGCTGAACTGGGCTGGATAAACAGCTTTCTGCTTTTATTTTGATTTCATGTAGAAACTCTGACTCCAGGTCAGTCTCTCTGAGCTGGAGGTTCATGATGGTGGTGGGGGTGGTTAATATTTGCTCAGCGGACTGGATCGGCGAGCGCTTCATCATTCAGTTCAATCAATGAGAACGGAGAGAAAAGGGTAGGCTGAAGGTTGGATTGCAGGACTTTCAGGGTCTCATATTTCTTTCCACTGTCAGGTCGCCTCAGTCAGATTTTCTTTCTGCAACTTTAGACTGCAGTTGGTTTCTATTGCCAACCAATGCTTACTTGTAGGGTGAATGTTGATTAAGCACCTTCAGGGTTGTCTTTCTGTTTTAAATTTGCTGTAAGTTGTTTGCATTTCAACTCTGCACACTTTCTTATTTCAACCAATCATTTATCAAATATTCAGCTCATTCAGGAGATGGATTATTTATATGGAGCCCATGAGGGGAAATGGGGAGATTATTACTGTTGTGTCTGCTGGATTATTAACAAATTCACCTGCTCACCATTATACAGGAGTTGGCTTCAGAATAAATGTATCACAGCCATGCATAAAGTTAAGTAATGTGTAGATATTTTAACTCTGTGCAGCSTTTTTCCAAACTTGTGGCGACACATTCTGTTTTGGCAACCAAATATTTCAAAATAAAAGTCTGATTTGGTACAGTTCATGCAAAGCTTTTGCATGGGAACTTAAAAAGTATTGCGAGGAAATGCAAAAAATAAAAAAAAATCCTCCCATTTCCCCTTGTGTGCCCTGCAGATTTGACTTTTGGATTTTACAACTTTTTTTATTTTTCAGGATATTTCCTTATTTTTCTATACAAAGACATACACTTACCACACTTGCTCTATTTTTGTCTTCTTATGCTACCTTTAGTTCTTAATTACAAATCTGGAACTTTTAGCCTTTAGCTGACTTTTCAATGGTTAGATACCATTTTAATTGTGTGAATGCGGGTATGAATGAATGACTAGTGTAAAGCATCTGTAAGGATTTGATAAAGTGCAATGCAAGTTCAGGCAATTTACCATTTTGTTGCTTTTATTGTTTTGTCACCGTTAGCATTTAGCTAGATTCGTTCTACCTTTACCCACTATCTAATGATTTGCTGCTTTTTCCATCTAGATCTTTATCCTTTTGMTAATTTTAGYTATCATTTAATACTTTTGTCTTTTAGCTGATGTGCTGTTTTTTATTTGAATTAGCCTTTAGATACATTTGTATTTCAACCAGTATTTGATACTTTAGACATCTAAATGGTCTTTTGTTACTTTTAGTTTTTTCCATCTTTTATCTTCTAGTTACAGTTTTGATATTTTAGCATTTAGCTTTCAGCTAATGGTCTGCTTCCTTTGATTTTAACAGCTAATTTGTCCTGTAATGTCATTCAACATTCACTGCATTTAAACAGAGAAAGTTTAATTTCTGTATTAGGCGTTTACTCTTCTGAAAAGCCTTTTCTGTCTGATTCGTTTGAAACTAAGACTGATTTGAAGAAATTGATCCCATTGTTGCCTCAGTAATATAATATCCTGCAGCTGTCATGTCTCTGCAAACATAGAAACAGGATTTTGCTGCTTCCAGCTGATTGTTTGTTTGTTAGTGTTGGTGTTGTGTGGAGCAGATGACAGTCCTCACTGTCAGCTCCTTCTACAGAGCATTGATTTTTTTTTGCACCACTCACTTTAATGAAAGACCAACCGTGTCGAGTTTATCCAACACACACACATAAACGCTGCAGTAAATCTTCTTGTCAGAACAGCTGATGTTTGTCAGAACGGGCCGTGACCTTGACTGATGTGAGGAGTGCAAATGAAATGAAATGAAAAGCACAGACGAGTCCAGCAGGATTCAAACCGTGAGCAGAGACGAGTAGGATATTAATGCAGAAATGATTGACTGGAGATCTTATTACTGGGTTCTTGTGACTTAAAACACTTAATCCGCTGTTATTTTAGTGAGATTCTAAACCTCTGCAGAGGAGAGTGTAAACTGTGATCTGCTGACATGTAGTCACTGGAGAGGCTCATCCTGTGGGCTTATCATAGCCAAGGTATTGATTTTTGCTCATCATGTCATGTAAACACAAACAAACAAAGCTTCACAAACAGACGCTGCTCTACAGTCACACACACACACACACACACACACACACACACACACACACACACACACACACACACACACACACACACACA